GTGCATACGGGGCCCTGCACCTTCCAGTTCTTCAATAAATGTTGATATCATATACATTCCTATTTCTCTTGGCTTTGTGATTCTCTCCCTCTTCTGTCTTCCCATCTCTGATTCACTCTCTCTCTCACTTTGTTCTGTAAATGTTTAGGTCACAGTATCCCCCAGTCACACCTACCCCCAAAGTTGGCCAAGCGGCTGATGCGGGAGGCAGGCACTTTGCGTTCTCGAGAGCGGTCACTCAGCTGGGAAATAAGGGGAAGGTCTGAGGGTGGGAAGGTGGGCACGCCATTCCCCAAGCTCAGGAGGCCAGCAGCCCTCATGAGACTTCACTAGGCTGGGGGGGGGTAGGGGACAATGATACCTGGAGCCGGGGTGTCTTCCTAGGCCGGGCCTCCCGTGCCCTGCGAATGTCCTCCTCACCCAGGCCTCTGCCAGGCCCGTCCTGATGAAACCTTTGGGCCTGACAACCCCCACAAGTCCCCTGTGAGAGACATGAACTTTGGTAAGGACTGGGGGACATGGAGTCCTTCTAGCCCATTGTGACCCCTCCCTTTTTACCCCCAGAAACTTCCCTCCTCTACCTCTTTCTCATGGGAACCCTCCTCAGCCTTACCCACCAGTGGAGCCCAGGCCCCAGGGCCCCACAAGGCAAACCAATAGTACGGCCCAGCTGTCCACAGGTCCCCCGCAGTAGGACCCCCACCTCCAGCCACATCGCCTGAGGGAGAAGAGGAGGGATTATTCAGGTAGGGGGTCTGGGCTGGCCTCCCTGCTCTGCCAGGCCCCACACTCCTTCTGTGTCCACCCTCTGTAAGACTCCCACTCCCCAAAGACTCCTTCTCCGTTAATAGGCCCTACCCCCCAGTTTCTCCTGGCTCCCCCTCTCGTTGCTAGGAACCCCTAGCTCTTCCTGCGCGCCTCCCAAAACCCACTTTCCCCCAGTCCCACCCCGAGCCGTTGCTAGGGTCCTACCCCGTTCCTAGACACCCACAGATCCTTCAGGCTACCTTTCCCCTTCTCTAAGCACCCCCTTGTTGCTAGGAAACGCCTTCCCCCTGTTGCTAGGCACCCACAATTTCTCCCGTGTCCCCCCCACTCCATTACTGGGTACCTGCCCCCGTTGCTAAGCACCCACGCTCCCTAGCTCCGGGTCCGCAAAGCACGGGTGCTCTTGCGCTTCCGGGAGCCTCAGAACACCCGCCCCCTCCGGTCAGCTAGCCAATGGCGGGGCAGAGGCACACTGGCGGGCACGAAACACGCCCCGCTGTGCGGAAGGGGGCGGAGCTGAGGCGCTAGAGCGGGACCAGAGAGTGGGCGTTGGGGCCTGCTGGGAATTGTTGGGACGCGGCTTGAGTACACACGTGACCTTTTATGCCCTTCCAGTCACCTCCAAGTGCCTTGTACGCGGCAGACCTTTCTGTTCCCTACACCGTCCTTTTTGCCAAGATCCCTCTCCGTTGCCAACCACCTTGCTCTTTTTTTTCCTGGCATGCGCAATACCTCTCCTTTGAACGCACACACTTTGCAGCAAACATACCCCTTGCACATGTAGCCCCTCCACTTTGCACACCTACCCTCTGCTTCAAACACCCACATCCTGGTACCCAACCTCTTCCCTTGCCCATATAAACGCCCTGCCTTTCTTTGCCAACTCTCTGTCTCACACCGCTATGTCTCCCGCGTACACTTAGACTCAGCCCCTGCACACTGGCCCCGTTCCCTCATACGCCTTGCTTTCTCTCTGCTCCCCGCCCACCAAGGGGATGGTGTGAGTGGGAGCCCTGCTTCCTGTAGGCCTGACATTTCCCAGAACGCACTCAGCCAAGATTCCCAGTGCTGAGTCAGGAGACTTGGCATCCTAGAAAAGCCGCTTCCAGCCCGACTGGGGGTGTGTGTGTGTTGGGCGGGGGGAAGCAGGGTTAAAGCTTACTCCTCCCACATACAGGCTGACTCACCCCTCTTATCAGTCTGGAATAGAAGCAGCTGGCTGGGGCACCTCTCCCACTGGGAAAGGGAGGAATGTGATGCTTTCCCCAGTCCTCCCCCTCCTTGTTGGGAATCAGGCCTTCCTAAATGTCCCTGTGCTGTGTGACCTCAGATGAGTCCTCAGCCCTCTCTGGGCCTCAGCTTCCCAGCCTATATGATGTGCCAGGGGGCTCCTGCCTCTGAATTCTCATTGGTCTGTGCAGAGATGACTCATTTTATAGCCTTGCCTCTGTACCTGTGTCCTTCCCTGGGTGACTCAGTTTCAAGACAACACCCCCACTCCCCTCCCCGCCGACAGTGAGGGTCTGACTCAGGAGCTGGGTGACACCTCAACCTTGGGAGAAAAGTATATAAAAAGCACCTATGACAAAAACCAACCCGCCAGGGCTGTGGCTGACTGTGCCAGCCCTGGCACCACACACTTCAAATATATGAGGTCATATCAAATAGCCTAGCTGCTACAAGCAAAAGCTTGAGCATGGTAGACCGCTGAGCCTCAGTGTCCTATTCTGTAAAATGGGGCCATGGCATCCCCTCTTGCTCAATGCTGGTGAGAAAGAAGTGAAATAACTTCTGTAAAGAGCTCAACAGAACAAGTGCTCTACACACGAGAGAGATTTCTTACAGAAAATTCATTCCTTTCAAAACTTTTATCAAGCACTGTGTGCATTTTTAGGCGCAGCGCACACAGCGGAGTCCTAGTGGCACAGTGGTTAAAGCAACTGACTGCTGACCAAAAGCTCAGTGGTTTGAAATCACCAGAGGATCCTCGGGAGAAAATGTGGCAGTCTGCTTCCGTAGAGATTTACAGCCTTGGAAACCCTACGGGGTCACTATGAGTCACTATGAGTCACTATGAGTCGACATCAACTTGACAGCAGTGGGTTTTGGTTTGGGGGACACAGCAAGGAACAAAATAAGCAAAAATCCTTGCCCTTGTGGTGCTGGCTTCTGGTGGGAGACACAATGAACAAAATGTTATTGTTAGGTGCCATCAAGTCTGTTCCAACTCAGAGACCCTACGTACAACAGAACGAAACACTGCCTAGTCCTGTGCCATCCTCATGACGGTTGTTATGCTTGAGCCCATTGTTGCAACCACTGTGTCAATCCATCTCATTGAGGGTCTTCCTCTTTTTCACTGACCCTTCTACTTTACCAAGCATGATGTCCTTCTCCAGGGGCTGGTCCCTCCTAATAACATGTCCAAAGTATGTGAGGCAAAGTATCAGCATCCTTGCTTCTAAGGAGCATTCTGGCTGTACTTCTTCCAAGACAGATTTGCTCATTCTTCTGGCAGTTCATTGTATATTCAATATTCTTCACCAACACTATAAACAAAGTAAGTATATATAAAGAAGGTGACAGACATTAAAGAGAAAAATAAAGCAGGGAAAAGGCAGGAAGTGGAGGGAAGATTATGACTTTTAAATAGAGTTGTCAGGGAAGGTCTCACTGAGGAGGTAAACAAAGACCTGAAGGAGGTAAGAATTTCTGGGGGAAGATCATTCTAAGCAGAGGGAATAGCCAGTGCAAAGGCCCTGTGGTGAGAAAGTGCTAGGTATCGGAGGAACAGCAAAGGGGTCAGTGAGTGAGGGGGAGAGAGGGAGGAGATGAGATGAGGTTAGGGAGGTAACTAGGGCCAAACCACAAAGGGTATAATGGACGACAGTGTGGCTTTTAACCTGCGTGGGATGGGAGCCATGAAGGGGATAGTTCTAGCAGAGAAGGGATGTGATATGATTTACAGAAGATACTTCCGGCTCTTCCTCCAACACGCCCCAGCCTGAAAAGCAAGTTATATCACCAAAAAAACCCAAAACCAAACCTGCTTTCATCGAATCGATTCTGACTCATAGTAACCCTATAGGACAGAATAGAACTGCCCCATAGTTTCCAAGGAGCGTCCGGTGGATTCGAACTACCAACCTAGTTGGCAGACGTAGCTCTTAACCACCACGCCATCCAGTAAGGATCAAAAGCCCAGGCTTTGGATTAGACGGGCCTAGGTTGGGGCCTGGGTTCGAATCCACACAGCCTAGAAGTATGATCTTGGACCCTGTTTTGGTCTTTCTGTGCTTCCGTTTCCTTGCTTGTGCTGTGGGGATGATGATCAGCGCTACCTCACAAGCTTTGGGGAATGAAATTATGAGTTCAGTGTTTTCCACAAAGCAATGTGAAAATGTAAATAATTCCCGTAACAACTTTGTGAGTTAGTTATCATTTCTAGCCCCTCTTTACAGATGAGGAAACTGAGTCTCCGAGGGGTCAAGTCTGTTGGGGAAGATCACACAGGAAGTGAGCGTTGAAGGTAGGACAAATTCTTTCACTTCTCCGGGCTTCAGTTTTCCTGTCGGTAGAAGAGTGTGCCTCTTGTGGCATTGAAAATACATTTTTCGAAGCAACTACTATAATGTATTCTCATTTTACAGGTGAGAAAACTGAACCTCGGGCGGGGGGCGGGGGAGGGCAGCGTAAACCACTTGCTCAAAGGAACACCACTAGAAAGTGGCAGAGACCAGACTCCATCTCAACGCCTATGGGATTCCTAAATCCTTGAACGTCCGCCCCGCCACTGCGTGAAGAATGACCGCGCGGTTGGACCGGGGATTGTACAGAGACTGAATTGGTCCCTCGCAGTGTAGGGAAGTTAAATTAGTCACGGGGGTTTAGGGAAGGGTCTTTTGCCCCGCCATCTCCTAGTCCGCGTACGGCCGGGACCCCAGCGACCCCACGCCCTCTAAAAGCCAGTGTCCCCCTCTCCCCGGCATCCCCCTCGACGCAGGTGGGCGGAGCCAGGCTAATCCTCGCCCCGTTTGCGTCACGTCCGGTGGGGCGGGGCCTTGGGGCTTTCCCCCAAGAAGGGGGAGTATCGGTTAACCCCTGCGTGGCCGGGCTGGCCAGAGCTCTGCGGGCCGGAACCCGGGACTCGGGCTCCCCAGCCACACCCCTCGCGGGACTTAAAGGGGCTGGAGGGGCCGGGTCAGGCCGAAGTCCGAACCGAGGGAGCGGGTATGAGGCGCTGCCCGTGCCGGGGGAGCCAGGGCGAGGCGGATGCCGGGTTGCTGCACCGAGCGGCCCGCACGAGCCTGGGACTGGAGGCGCCGCGAGTCGGGCGGTGGTGGCAGCCGAGACAGCAGCGACCAGGGCCCGGCGCTGGGGGCCTGGCAGGACGGCCGGAGGGGGGCGGACCCCGAGCCCGGACCGAGGAGTCTAGCCTCCACACCGAGCCCGAGAAGGCCGGCGTCGGGCCTGAGCCGGAGTCAGGCGGTCATCGGACAGAATCCTGGACGGACGGACAGGCTGAACTGCAGGCAACTGGCCTCGGAGTTGGGACTGAGAGTCCCAGCCAAAAGACCGAACCAGATAGGTTCAGGCTCCTTTCACATCCAGAAGGAAGCAGCCACTGGTCAGAGCTGGAGAGGGCCGGGGGTTGGACGCAGATTGGGAGAGATGGCTTTTGGACTGACCCACACAGGTCTGACTTCCAATCTCAGACAGAGCGGGGCAGTCTCCGGACACAACCAGGGGTTGATGGCCCCTGGGCAGAGCTAGAAACAGATGGGCAGCAGATTCGGCCAAAGAGGGGCAGGCCCTGGGCTGATGGCCTCTGGATCCACCAGAACAGCTCCAGTGCCTTGACTCAGCTAGGGGGGGCCTGCCCCTCAACAGAGCAAAGTGCTGATGGCTCCTGCAAAGGACTGTACACTGATGGCTCCAGGACACAACAGGATACCGAAGGCCCCTGGACAGAGCCGCACACTGTTGGATCCCAGACGCGCTGGGATGCTGAAACAGGCTGGAAACAGCCTGGCCCTGATGGTTTCCCAATACAACAAGATACCGACGGCTTCTGGACACAGCCTGGCACTGATGGACCCTGGACAGAGCCTGGGAAAGACTGTCTTTCGGAAGAGCCCAAGCAGGATGGCCCATTAGAGGAACTAGGACCTGGAGAGTTGGTGACTCACCTGAACCCTCACCTGAGGTGTAGACCCCTGTGCTCTGTGCCCCGCCTCATCATCACCCCTGAGACCCCTGAGCCTGAGGCCCAGCCCGTGGGACCCCCCTCGCAATTTGAGGCAGGCAGTGGCGGCTTCTCCTCTGCCTCCTCTTTTGATGAGTCTGAAGATGACGTGGTGGCCGGGGGTGGAGGTGCCAGCGACCCCGTGGACAGGTCTGGGGTGAGTGGGACCCCCTGCCCCTGAGCCACATCCCCCGACCTCTTGTCCCCCTGCCTGTAACTGAGAAGTTCTCTATCGGTTTCCTCTCAGCTCCCCACTAGTAATTTCATCTCCATCCACTGACTGCCTCTCTCTGACTACCCTGGTTACTAACCGTCTGCAGGGACCCCCCACCCCAAGTCTCTCCTCTCCTTTCTCCCACCCCTTCTAGTCCTGGGTTCTAAAACGGAGGGCCGCCAACCGACTTCAGGGCGCCTAAGAACCCCTGAAATTGTGAGATTGTATGTGCGCACGCTGATTTTTGCAGCAAAGGTCTGTAAATCCCATCAGGCCCTCTGGAGAGTCTGTGACCCCCAAATCGGAAGAACACTGGAATAGGAAGACAGAAAGGGTGCGCTTTCTATCCCAGATTTCTTCATCTAGGGCCTGTGGCTGCCTTAAGGGGCCCAGGAGCCTTCTCCACCTTTTAGCCCACTTCTATGTTTTTCTAGGGAGTGAGCCCCCAGCTTTTTTCATCAGATTCTCAAAGGGCTGTGTGAACCTAAATGGTAAGGGACCCCAGCCTAGGCAGGGGCCATTCTAGTCTCCCCTCACCCCCAGCCCTGGCTCTCTTGCCCAGGTGCCCCTGCAGACTCTTGTTTACGGCCCCCACCCTTGCCCCAGCTTGGGTGCGGTTCTCCCCTGGTGAATCAGGAGGGCCTGCAGGGCGGGTTTTGCCTCCTGTGGGTCTGGGAGCGTTGGCGCCTGCCAGCCTGCTCTCTAGGTCCTGCCATCCTCTCGGGCCCCTCGGTGGAGTCTGCCCTGGACCCCCTCACTCCACATGCCTCCCTTAGGGACCTGTTCACACACGTGGCCATGGACGTGAGAGACAGACCTGCCTTTGCTTGCCTGTGCAGGGGCAAAGGAGCTGGCTCTCCAGGGCTTTCTGCCTTTGCTTTTCTCTCTGTCTACTGTCCCACCTCCTTGGCATCTCAGAACCCCGAGCTGAAAGTGGGTAAATGCTACTGCCAATAATAATAGCAGCTGGCACTCACTCATGCCTAGCCCCGTGCTAAGCTCTTTTAACTCATTTAATCCTCACAGGAGCCCTATGAGGGAGATGCTATTATTATCCCTATTTTACAGATGAGGAAACTGAGGCACAGAGAGGTCAAATTGATAGTCCAGGGTCATACACCTTGGAAGACACAAAACTGAGATCCAAACCCAGGCCATCTAGCCCCAGAGTCCATGCTTTTAAATACTGCACCACTGTACCTTTTACTAACAATGATCATAAAACCAAAAAAAACCCAAACCCATTGTCATCGAGTCGATTCCGACTCCTAGCAACCTTATAGGACAGAGCAGAACTGCCCCATAGGGTTTCCAAGAAGTGGCTAGTGGATTCAAAGTGCTGACCTTTTTGGTTAGCAGCCAAGCTCTTAACCACTGCACCACCAGGGCTCCCTAATGATCATAAAAAAAAAACAAACAAACCTGTTGCCGTCAAGTTGATTCCGACTCATAGCGACCCTATAAGACAGAGTTGAACTGTCCTGTAGGGTTTCCAAGGAGCGGCTGGTGGATTCGAACTGCCAACTTTTTCGTTAGCAGCTGAGCTCTTAACCACTGCACCACCGGGGCTCTTTAGCCAACCTTTATTGAGTGTTTACTGTATACCAGGCTCTATTCTAAGTGATTTATATGTATTCACTCTTTGAATCCTCAGAACAGCGCTGTGAGGTTTAAAAAAAACAAAACAAAAAACTCGCCATCAAGTCAATTCCGACTCATAGAGACCCTATAGGACAGAGTAGAGCTACCTCATAGGGTTTCCAAGGAACGGCTGGTGATTCGAACTGCCAACCTTTTGGTTAGCAGCCGAGCTCTTAACCACTGCGCCACCAGGGCTCCACTGTGAGGTTGGATTTCTATTATCTCCATTTTCCAGAAGAAGTTGAGGCAGAGAGAGGTGAGGTCACTTGCTCAGGGTTGGCCAGGCCGGGTCCGAGCCAGAATTCTGACTTGGTTCTGGCTGAGTTTAAAATCCAGTCATTTTAGCCCCTGCGGTGCGTGGCTCTGTCCGTAACTTGCTTTCTTCCCAGGCTCCCTGTCTCCAGTTTTCCCTCATCCTTCTAGGATCTGCCTCCTTGGCTCAGCTCTGACCAGACACATTCCCTGCTCCGGCGCCTTCCATGGCTCCCCAGGGCCTTCAGGATAGCGGTCAGGACCTTAGTCATGGTTCAGAACCTGCTGTCTTCCAGTTTCTCCCCTCCCCTCCTGACACTCTTTGCTGTCACTAAACCAGAATACACAGTGTTCCTTGAACCCCCTGCTGCCGTCCTGCCTCCACACATTGCTCAAGCCATTCCTACGGCCCAGAACACCCTCGCTTCCTTTTCCTTCTTGCTTCATTTTGAAATGCTGTCCAACCTTAAAGGCCCAGTTTCCTTGCTTCTTTTCCACCTTTCTTCTTTCCTTCCTTCTCACACCCATCCTCTGTACTTCTCATCAGACAACAGTCCCTGAGCCTCTACCATGTGTCCGTCCCTATGTTGGCTTTGCTGGGAACACAGCAGTGACCACGACAGCCCCAATCCTGCCTTCGTGGGGCTCCCGGGCCAGTGGGGAGACAAACATATCAGTAGACAGTGGCAGTGCAGAGTGGTCAGGGCGGGATGGGGGAAGCCCAGGGGGTCGTGGGACTCTGAGGGAATGAGTGGCCAGACCTGGGTATCAGAGAGGGCTTCCTGGAGGAGGGGACATGAAACCATCTGAGAAAGCCCAAATTAACCGTTTGTTGTTGTTGTTAGTTGCTATCGAATTGATTCCGACTCCTGGCCACTCTGTGTGTCCAAAGTAGAACTGCTCCACAGGGTTTTTGAAGGCTGTGTGACCTTTTGGAAGCAGATCACCAGGCCTGTCTTCCAAGGTGTCTCTCGGTGGTTCAAACCACCAACCTTTTGGCTAGTAGTTGAGCACTTAAGTGTTTGCACCACCCAGGAACATCTAGATTAACCATTAATCAAAAACAAAAACAGAACCCATTGCCATATAGTTGATTCTGATTCATAGTGACCCTATAGGACAGAGTAGGACTGCCCCATAGGGTTTCCAAGGAGCAGCTGATGGATTTGAACTGCTGACCTTTTGGTGCACTGAGCCACCAGGGCTCCAGATTAGATCTAAAAAAATAGAGTTGATACTAAATATATTTATGATTAAAAAAAAGTCTCAACTAGCCTCCTTCAATCCAAGCAACATTTTCTGAGCATCTGTGTGTGCCAGGCCGTGTGCTGGGGACACAGTCGTAACCATGACCACCCCAGTCCCTACCCTCAAGAGTTCATAGTCCAACAGGAGTGGAGGGGAAGCCCCAGGACTGTGAGGTAAGATCACAGCTGGAATCCCAGCACTGTGCTCTGTGATGTTAGGCAAGTGACTTCACCCCTCTGGTCCTCTGCTTCCTCTTCTGTAACCCAGAGACAACAATCCTCCTGGGGTTGTGTTTTGAAGATTAAGTCGGTTATGGCACACTGAGTCTTTGTTATTGTGCCTGGAATGTTCCAGGTGCTTAGTAAACAGGAACCTTTATTAATCACCTCCTCCTCTGGGCTGGCAGCCCTCAGCGGGGAGGGACTAGCCCTTCCTGGATCATGCAGTCCAACACCCTGATGTCTGCTAGGCAGCTGGACTCTGAGCGGGTGGGAGAGAAGAACATGCCCTTGATCCTGGGGAGGGGGTGGGTGAGAGCCACACAACTTCCTTCTCTGGAGAAGACCGAAACCCCTTGCCGTTGAGTCCGACTCATAGTGACCCTATAGGGCAAAGCACACCCGCCCCACAGGGTTTCCAAGGCTGTGATCTTTACAGAAGCAGACTGCCACATCTTTCTCCCGCAGAGCGGCTGGTGGGTTCTAACTGCCGACCTTTCGGTTAGCAGCTGAGCGCTTTAACCACTCCAGGGCTCCTCAGAGGAGAGCTACTCTTCCAAAACTTGCTAAGTGCCCGCTATTTGCTTAGGGCAGAGAATGTGCATTCGTGTGTGTGTGCGTGCGCACCCATGAGAATCAGACTAACCTTGTATCAAGAAGTTCTTGGAGAGTTGACGTGATACAACCAGATCCCTGTTTTTATTTGCTTCTCTGGTTTTCTTTCTTTTTTCTCTTTCTCTCTTTGTTATTCTCTGCATCTATACATCTTTTTTTTTCTTTTCTGTCTTTACCTTCTTTGTCCGCATAGCTGTCTGTGTATTTCGGTCTTTGTCATTTAGACTCTGGTGACTCTGTGTCTGCCTCTGTGTTAGTCAGGGTCGGTCAGAATTTGCCGTAGTAACAAACAACCCCCAAGTCTCGTGATTTCGGATACCAAAGGATAGTTTTTGTGTCCACTAACATTTGACCAGGGGTCAGTGGTGGGTGAGGGGCCCTGTTGCATGGTGTCTTCACTCAGGGGCCCCAGCCTAGGGAGGCTCCTGCAAAGGAAAGAACATGGAGAATCACACACTTGGCTCTTACCGCTTCGGCCCAAAGTGACCATTGTGCTTACATTTCATTGGGCAAAGCAAGTCACTGACCTAAGTTCAGGAGGGCAGGGAAGTCCCTGGAAGGGGGAAGAGTTGGAACTATTTGGTGATCAGCACTCAGGACTGTCCCAGTCTTTGTCCCCTTCTCTGTCTTCATTTTGTCACCTGTCTCTGTGGGGCTACCTCCAACCATCCGGTCCTGCCTCTGCCTTTTTCCATGAAAGATCTGAGCTGGTTTAGGGGCAGAGATGGGACTTCTGGCTTTTGAGTGTGTGTGTATTGGGAGAAGGGAGTTGTGATAAGATAAGGAGGTTGTTTGTTACCACAACAAAACTTAGCTTATCCTTAGGCACACACTGGCTCTGAAGTGAGCCAGTGAGAAGGACAGAGATGACACAGATGTGAAGAAAGTGATGTTGACAGAGACAGAAATGGATAGAGACATAAAATCCCCCCTTAGCTTTGCCGAGGCCTTTGGGGGGATCCTGTGAGTGCTGGACCTGGTGGGATCTGACAAGCTTGGGAACAGCAATCTCGGGAAGCCTCTGCCTCTAGAAAGATCCCAGGTCCACTTTTGTTCCGTCTCATGACAGCACCCCAACTCCCATCCCTCCCTGGCTTTGACCCTGACCTCACCCTCCTCTGTCCCACACAGAACAAGCCATGGAAGAGGCTGAAGACAGTTCTGAAGTATTCACCCTTCATGGTCTCCTTCCGTAAACACTACCCATGGGTCCAGCTGTCCGGACATGCTGGTGAGAGCTGGGGGCGGTGGACAGAGACACTTGGGGATGGGGAAAGGGCAGCTCTCTGAGCCTTAGTTTCCCCATCTGTAAAATGGGCTTGGTGACAGTCCCTATCTCATGGGGTTGTTATAGGAAGCACTTAGGCCTGGGACCAGCCTGTCATGCATCAGGGTTGGTCCCTGTTATGCCGGTGTGGTGGGGAAGGGACCCAATTCTGGGCCAGATGGACCTGGGATCAAATCCCAGTTCTACTGTTTGTTTGTGGATGACCCTGGGCAAGTTCCTTTCTCTTGCTGGGCCTCAGTTTCCTCATCTGTATATGGAGATAAACCTTTGAAGGATTCACTGAAGAGTTAAAAACAAAATATATATGGGGACTGAGGCATAGTCCTCTCGTAATTGGAAGTTACCATTCCCTGTCCCCTCCCTGTGCCCAGCACATAGTAGGCCTTCAATAAACTGTGGCTGTAATGGTTTTCCCCTGGGACCTGGCACACTATGTCTAGCACTGAGCAGCAGAGTGCCTAGCACATAGTAGGTGCTCAACAAATGGTATCCCAATTTCTCTTTTCACCCAGAGCTTAGCACAGTGTCCCCCGCATCAGCACACGTTCAATACATTGGAACTTGCCACTTGTTTTTTTTACCCAAAGTGTAGCTCAGCACACGGTAGGTGCTCAGTAAATGAGAGCCTACCATTTCTTTTTACCCAGAGCTTAGCACAGTGCGCAGCACACAGTAGGTATTCAATAGATAGCTCCATTTATCCTCTTGCCTAGACCCTACCAGATGTTCCTGTCACGCTCTTGCGAAATGGCTGGGATTCAGATTTTCTCTCCTTGGTTGGCTTATGGCAGGCACCCAATAAACCCACTGCTGTCGAGTCGATTCTGACTCATAGCAACCTTATATGACACAGTAGAGCTGCCCCATTGGGTTTCCAAGGAGTGGCTAGTGGATTCGAACTGCCTACCTTTTTGATTAGCAGCTGTAGCTCTTAACCACTGCACCACCAGGGCTCTGGGCACCCCATAAGTGGTGTCTAACTTTTCCCCAGTGCCTGACACATGGTAAGAATACAGGTAGCACTCACTGTGCACCACTTCTGTCTCACAGTAACTCTAGGAGGGAGATACTATTGTCCCATCTTTCAGATGAAGAAACTGAGGCTCCCAGAGATGAAGTGATGTGTCCAAGGGCACATAGCTGGCAAGGGTCAGAGCTCGATTTGACCCCAGGCAGCCTGGCTGCAGAGCCCTGGCTCATAATCATTATGCTCTCTTGCCTCTTGAGCAACATCCCCTAAGCAATGCAAATTTTCTTTTTAAAAAGAGCTTGACGGGGAAAACAGGAAGAATAATACCAACCAGGCGTTTGTTTTGTTCCAGGCCCCATGCTTAGTCAGCACTTCCCAAGAGCTCATGTTCCTGTCCATGATGGAAAGTTGCTATAGCATAAGGGCCAGCAGGGGAGACATTAGAACTAATTGGTCTAGGTTTAAATCCACAGTATTCCACTTCCTGGCTGTGTGACGGAGAGCAGGTATCTTAACCCATCTGTGCCTTGGTATTCTGAGCTGTATTATACCTCACTGGGTAAAGAATAAGTAAGTTGGTAGATATAAAGTGCTTAGATCAGCACCTGGCATACAGTAGTGCTCAGTAAGTGTTACTTCTCTGGGCCAGTGACCCTTTGAGGTAGATTTGACTCTGAGTCCCATTTTCCAGATGATGAAATTGAGGCCTGGAGAAGTGGACTCACTTGTGTTGAGTCACACAGCCTGCGTGTAGCAGACCTGGGATTTGGACCCGGATCTAACTCCAGATCCCAACCACTGAATCACTATCCTAAGAGCTGATCTCTAAAGGAGACCTCTGCTGTCATTACTTAGGGAAAATAATTTTGTTCCAGGGACTATAGTAGCCTAGATAACCTTTTAAAAGATTAAATTAAAAAAAAATAAGTAGAAATGCTAGATGAAATATAACAAGCATTTTTAAAAATGCACAGCTAAGAAAGGAAGGTAATCCACAGGGGTCAAAAAATGAAGGGAACTGGAAACAGACTGGGATGCTGACACCAAAGCTGCTGTATGGGTGCCTTCTAGTCTTGACAACCAGGGGCTTAGTTTGCTTGGCCACTGTATCAGTCAGCTGTGCCACGGGAGTGCTGTGTAACAAACCACCCCCACGCCCAGTGCCTTCAAGCAACAGTCACTGATTCTCACTCAGGTACCTGTGGGTTGGCTGGAAGTCAACTGCCCTAGGCTGGGCTGGCTCCAAGTTGAGTGGTGGGTCCCTGTGTGCTCCGTGGGTCTCTTATCCTCCTTGGACCAGCAGGACAGCCAAGGCAAGTTTTTCTTATGGTGGGGGAAGAAATACAAAAGGGTAAACTGAGATGGTAATATCCCACTGGCCAAAGCAAGTCACGTGGCCTATCCAACATCAGTGGGCAGGAAGAATGTCCCTTTTTTAGAGTTGAGGGTCATAGTGAATATTTGCCCTGAGTTTGAATCCTGGCTTTACTGTTTCCTTGCTGGGTGACCTTGGGCAAGTGACTTTCCCTCTCTGGACCTTAGTCTCCTCATCTGTAACCCAGGAAAATCAATACATTGCAGGCACCCAATAAACCCACTGCTGTCGAGTCGATTCTGACTCATAGCAACCCTGTACGACCAAGTAGAGCTATCCCATTGGGTTTGCAAGGAGTGGCTAGTGGATTCGAACTGCCTACCTTTTTGATTAGCAGCTGTAGGTCTTAACCACTGTGCCACCAGGGCTCTGGGCACCCAATAAGTGGTGTCTAATTTTTCCCCGGTGCCTGACACATGGTAAGAATACAAACAGATAGCGCTCACTGTGTGCCACTTCTGTCTCACAGGATGTACCAAGCACTAGAGATAACATGTATGGATTCTTGATGAATGGTAGTTATTTGTGCTGCCTTTGGGCCTGCACAGCATGAAAAACTCAGACTGAGACCTCACGTAAAGCTGGAGCTTTTGAAGGCTATACGTCGGTGAAAAGATAGACCAGACCAGGGGTCAGCAACCTTGTTTCATAAAGGGCTATGTAATAAATCTTTTAGGTTTTGCAAGCCATACAGTCTCTGTTGCAAATTGATTCTGCTGTTGCAGCACAAAAGCAGCCATAAACAATAGGTAAACACATGAGCATGTCTGTGTTCCAATAAAACTTTCTTTACAAAAACAAACAGTGGGCCAAACTAGACAAACTGTGTCCACCAGCAGAGGGAGACAATAAGGGAGCTTGTCTGTCTTGTTCATCCTTAGAGCTGAGTTGGAAAAGGCAAGGCCCCCCTAAGACTGTGTAAACAGGCCTGCCATCTGTATGTGTTCTAGTTACTGTTGCTTTAACGATTATGTCGCTATAACTGTAACTGTGTTGCAATTGTTTTACTGTTTAAAAAAAAAAAAAAAACTCTCAAAACTCAAAACTCAGTGGTTATTAAGGCAATTTAATGGAAGAAAACAACCATTTTATTATCCTCACAGGTTTTATGTCGGGAATTTAAACAGGGCCCAGTAGGGGTGGCTTGTCTCTGCTCCGTGATATCCGAGAACTCAACTAGGACAACTCAAAGGCTGGGAGCTGGAAACTTTTGGAGGTTCATTCACTCATGTGCCTGGCAATTAATAATGGCTGTTGGGGCCTCAGCTGGGGTTTGCAGCTGCAAAGCCTATAGGTGGCTTCTCCATGTAGCTGCTTGGGCTTCCTCACAGTATGGTGTCCTCAGGATAGTCAGATATCTTATGTGGCAGCTCAGGACTGCAAAGGCACATGTGTCTGTCAACAAGGCGGAAGCTTCATCTCCTTTTTATCACCTAGACTCTGAAGTCATGCAGACTCACTTCTGGCACAGCCATCCCAGATTCAAAGGGAGAGGAAGTAGACTCCACTTCTTGATAGGGAATGGCAAAATTCTAGAAAAGCATATGGAACAGAAGATATTGTTATAGCCATCTTTGGAAAATATATCTGAAAATATAATTTGCCATAATAAGAATTTGGAATTCTAATCTACACTATCTGTATGGTTCAGGAAACCCCAGATTTATAAATTAACTTAAATAGACCCCGGTTAGCACCCTGGAACTCCAGGCAGAAGCAAATGCAAATCTGCTCTGAAGAGTCATGCTCTTCACAAAATTCTCACAGATGACCATGAGCTCATCATCCAAAATTACAAAACAAATGAAAACAACCTGCTGTGAACAGGACTCAGTTTAAACAACAGACAAGAAACATAGGCCCTTTCCTCCCCGGCCCTGGCCAAGATCTTCAGAGTTGCAGGGAGAGACAGCATTGCAGAAGGGACAGGAAAGATGTTGGTAGCCAGGACCTGATGCATACAGGGAGACAGAAGGATTCTCTTTCTGATCCAGTTTCTGACCCGCCCATAGGAAACTTCCAAGCAGGAGAGGATGGTCGGATTCTAAAACGTTTCTGTCAGTGTGAGCAGCGAAGCCTGGAGCAGCTGATGAGTGACCCCCTGCGGCCTTTTGTGCCAGCCTACTATGGTATTGTGGAGCAAGATGGCCAGACTTTCAACCAGATGGAAGATCTCCTGGCAGAATTTGAGGGCCCCTCCATCATGGATTGCAAGATGGGCAGCAGGTGGGGTCAGGGGCATTCATGGAGGCAGGAGTGGAGGGTCAGGGTGGGCAGTCTTTGAAGAAAGTGTTAACATACATTTCCACCAGCAGTGTATGCAAGTTCCAGTTGTTCCATGTTCTTGCCAACACTTAGTATTGTGTGTTTTTAAAATGTTAATCATTCTAGAGGGTGTATAGTGGTATCCCATTGTGGTTTTAATTTCTATTTCTTGGATGACCAAAGAAGTTTAGCTTCTTTTCATATGCTACTTGGCTATTTGGAAATTCTCTTTTGAGAAGTGCCTTTTTAAGTCTCTTGTCATTTTTCTGTTGGGCTGTCTTTTGCTTTTTGACTTACAATTCTTTATATATCCTGGATACAAGTCCTTTGTTGAATATGTATATATATATATTTTTACCACTCTGCCATTTCACTCTCTTAAGTGTCATCTGACAAACTACTTTTTTTTAAAACAAAAGTACTTTTAATTTAGTCCAGTTTGAAATTTTTTTTTATTTATAAATAGTGCTTTTTGTGTTTAAGAAATCTTTGCCTACTCCAAGATCATAAAGATTTTGTTTTCTTCTACAAGCTTCACTGTGTTAACTTTCGCATTTCGATGTGGAATCCATCCAGAGTTAATTTTTGAGTATGGTGTGAGGTAGGGTCAAGGTTCATTTTATTTCCACATGGATATCCAGTTGAGTCAGCAACATTAATGGAAAAAGCTTTCCTTTCCCCATTGAATTGCAGTGCCTTCCTTGCCATAAATTGGGTAGATGTACATGTGTCTGTCTGTGGATTCTGTTCTGTCCCATTGATCTATTTGTCTGTCTTGTGCCAATATCACCCGTAGCTTTATAATATATTTTGATATCAGGGTGTGTAAGTCCTCTAGCTTTGTTCTTCATATTTCCCTTGTCACGTCCTCTGTGTCCGCAGGACCTACCTGGAGGAGGAGCTGGTGAAAGCACGAGAACGGCCCCGGCCCCGGAAGGACATGTATGAGAAGATGGTGGCTGTGGACCCCGGGGCCCCCACCCCCGAGGAGCACGCCCAGGGTGCAGTGACCAAGCCCCGCTACATGCAGTGGAGGGAGACCATGAGCTCCACTTCTACCCTGGGCTTCCGGATCGAGGGCATTAAGGTGAGAGCCTGTTGCTAGAGGGCTTGGAGCTAGATCTGAGGCAGAGTTTCATCAGGGAATGGGGGGTGTTGGGGCAAGCCAGAAAGAAGCAAGATCTGGAGATGGCAGGAGACTGCAGATGATGAAAAGGCCAGGGCTGGTGGAGGCCCCGCTTCTCTTTCCCCCACATTCTCAGAGACCTGAGCCCCTCTGACTCCATCTCCTCCTATCTTCTCCTGCCCAGGTCCCTGCCCAGCCTCCCTCAGCCCCTTCACCTATTCTGTCCGTCTCTTTCCCATCATCCAGCACAGCAGCTGGAGGGATCTTGATTTTCTCCTTATGGGGGAAGTGTTTTTTTTTCTTTTTTATTCCTTTTATTTTTGTGGAGCCCGGGTGGTGCAGTGGTTAAGCGCTTGGCTGCTAACCAAAAGGTCGGGTTGGCAGTTTGAATCCACCAGTTGCTCCTTGGAAACCCCATGGGGCAGTTCTACTCTGTCCTGTAGGGTTGCTATGAGTCGGAATCAACTTGACGGCAATGGGTTTAATGGGGTTTTTTACTTTTGTCAATTAAATTTTGAACTGGTATTCTTACCAGTCCCTGGGTGGCGAAAACAGTTAAGCACACAGCTACTAACATAACCCACCCAGAGATGCCTCAAAAGAAAGGCCTGGCGATTCACCTAGTCCAAAAGCCAAAACAATATAAAAAGGTACACGTTGAGAAATCTTGCTGTCAACCCTGCTGCTGTCCTTCCCATTCCATCCCTACACCCCACCTGTCCGCTCACGGGAAACCACTTAGATTAGTTTCTGATATTTCTTTCTGCAAATACAAGCAAATGCAATTGCGTATCTTAAGTAAGTTTTTTCTTCACTTTTGTACACAAAAGGTAGCATAATACACATACTGATTGATGCTTTGCATTTTTCACTTAACAGTAATATCCTGGACAGTTCTGCATATCATTTCATAAAGAGCTCTTCTTTCTTTCTTTTTCTTCCTCTTTCCTCCTCTCTTCTTCCTTCCTTCCTGTCTCTTTCTCTTCTCCCTCTTTCCCTCCCCTCCTCCCTTCTTCTCTCTCTCTTCCTTCCTTCCTTCCTCTCTTCATCTGTGTAACACCCTCTTTGTGGATGTACCACAGTGCCCTATAGATGGACACTTGGATTGCGTCCATATTTTGCCATTACAAGCAATGCCTCAGTGAATAACTTTGTATGTACGACATTTAGTCAGTGAGCAGTTTTGACTGTAAACTAGATTCCTAGAAGCAGGACTCCTGGGTCAAAGATTAAACATGCTGGTAATTTCGCTAGAGATTGCCAAACTCCTTTCCCAGGTGTTGTACGCTGAGCATCCCACCAGCAATATATGAGAGTGACTGTTTCCCCACAGCCTCGCCTGAGCTATCTTTCTAAGTTGCAAATCCAGCTATGTCCAGCCCTTCCGTGGCTCCCTAGTGCCCTCAGGAGGAGTTCTAAGGCCTAGAGGGCTCTCTAGGGTCTGGCCCCACCCTCAGCTCTCTCTTCTTCCTCGTCTGTCTTCAAGCCACAGTAAATGCTTTCATTTCCTCCAAAGTGTTCTGCTCTTACCTGCCACAGGGCTTCTGCCCATGCTGTTCCCTCTGCCAGGAACGCTCTTCCCCCTGCTGTTCCCCTGGTTGACTCCCAGTCATTTTCCTGTCTCCTTTTAAATTTCACCTCCTCAAGGAAGCCCTCCCTGATTTCCACCCTACCTGATCAGGGCCCCCTCTTCACCTCTTCAGAGATCCCTGTACGCCTTCATTCTCCTTCTCTTTCTCTGTGATTATTTTATCCAGTGTCTGCCTCCTTCATCTGATGTAACATTACCTCCATTTTACCAGTGCCCACACAGCACCTGCCAGAGTAGCAGAATGCGTTAGGTGGCTTCTCTGAAAAATAATAACATTCATCTAATTTACTGAGTACCTGCTTACTGTGTGCCAGGCTCTGTGCTATGCATCCTATACACGCAATCTCATCTCATCCTTATGCCAGTTTAGGAGGTAGATACCAACACAATTCCCATTGTCCAGATGAGGAAACTCAGGCCAAAGCAGGCGAAGTGACTTGCTTAAGGCTGCCCAGCTCGGAAGCAGCTGAGTCACAATTCAAAGCCCATCCGCTCCCCACAGCCCCCTTGGCTAGAGTGGCTCAAAAGGACCAGTTGCTCAGGAATGTGACCTGGGGCTGGGTTGAGCTGGGCTGGTGGGCTGATTTCCCCTGAACAGCAAGCAAGCCTTGAGGAGGGTGGGTAGCCCGGGGAGGTGCCTGAGGTTGCTTGGTGTTGAGGGTGGGAAGGAAAAGGCATGACACTGCCCCCCACCCCATGCCCTGCAGAAAGCTGATGGGACCTGCAACACCAACTTCAAGAAGACACAGGAGCTGGAACAGGTGACAAAGGTGCTGGAGGACTTTGTGGACAGAGACCGCAGAATCCTGGTGAGAGGGACCCCATACCGTTTGCATCCGTTAGCTTTTGCTGTGTAGCAAACTACCCCAAAATGTAGCAGCTCAAAACAGCCACCATTTATTATTGCTCCCAAGTTGGTGGGTCTCTGCTCTGGACGGGGATTGGCTAATATGGACTGACTCTGCTCATGTATCTGCAGTCAGCGAGCTGGTGGCTTGGCTAGGGTTGGCTGGTCTAGGATGGCCTCATTCACATGGCTGGCTATTGGCTCAGTGTCTTGGCTCAGGACTTGGCCACATACCGTTTATGATCCAGCAGGCTAGCCTGGGCTTGTTCTTATTGTGGAAGCAGGGATCCAAGAGAATGAGCAAAAAATACAAGGCCTCTTGATGCCTAGGCTCAGAAGATCACCCTCATTTCTGCCATGTTCTACTGGCCAAAGCAATGACCAAGCCTAGGTTAAAAATCAACAACCACAACAAAACAGTTGCCTTCGAGTTGACTCTGACTCATGGCGACCCCATGTGTGTCAGAGTAAAACTGTGCTCCACAGGGTTTTCAGTGGCTGATTTTTCAGAAGTGGATTGTCAGGTCTTTCTTCTCTGGGTGAACTCGAACCACCAACATTTTGGTTAGCAGCTAAGCACATTAACCATGTGTACCACGCAGGGAGTCCAAGCCTAGGAAAGGGAAACAGACCCCACCTCGTGATGGGAGGAGCTGCTAAGAATTGTGGGTCTCTGTGTAATCTACCATACTGTGTCCCACCTGATACATTCCACCCCCTCTATTTTCCTCCTGGCTCCTCATATCCCATCCTGCCTGGGGCCTGCCCACTCCTTTGAGATGGGTCAAGGTCAGATCCTGCAGTGGGTAGGGACCCATCAAGTCCCTATGCTAACCAGGAAACCCTCCCTCTCACACACAGAAAAAGTACGTGGCCCGCCTAGAAGAACTTCGTGAAGCTCTGGAGAAGTCCCCCTTCTTCAAGACCCATGAGGTGTGAGCCCTGACCGCCATGGGAGCTGGTGGGAGAGGGGATTGTTGGGGGGCCTGAGTGGCACTGAGGGGAAACCGCTGACAGAGTCACAGTCCAAGGCTATGAAAAGGAGACCCCAAGCTTTGGGGTTTGCATTGTTAGGGTTGACAGCAGAGGGGACTTCAGGGAAGTGGAGCAGTTAGGAGCATGGACTGGAGCCGGGTGGCTGGCTCTGCCAGTCACTAGCCGTGTGACCCTGGCATGTGGCCTGCCTCTCTGGGCCTCAGCTTCCTCCTCTCTAATGGGGGAAGAACAGTCATACTTTCCCTGTAGGGCTGCTGAGGGCGTGAGATGACTGTCAGGTGATGTTCGGAGCATGGAAGCACATGTAACTCTACTCGTAAACAATTATTTTCTAATCACACCACCAAAGGGAAAAAAACCCAAACCCACTGCTGTTGAGTTGGCTCCAACTCATAGCGACCCTATAGGACAGAGTAGAACCAAGGCTGTAAATCTCTACAGAAGCAGACTGCCACATCTTTCTCCCACTCAGTGGCTGGGGGGTTCGAACTGCCAAGCTTTTGGTTAGCAGCCAAATGCTTTAAGCACTGCGCCACCAGGGCTCCTTTTTAAAATCATAATTATTGATAATTTTTGTTACGTGTATCATGTTTGATGGTTCTTGCCCTTCCCCTTTGGCCTGTCTCTTTGGAAACATTTCATCTCGCTGGGGCTGGCTGAGGGGATTCACTCATGTAGATCCTCTCCTCTCTCCAAGTTTTCTGTCTCCCCCTCCATCTGCTCTCATCTCCGCCCCCTGACATTGCTGACTTTCTGAAAGAGCACTGAGCTGAGAGTCAGGCTGACGTGGGTTCGAATCTACATGGATTCACACAAGCCTGGGCAGCCATTCTAGGTGGCCTCAGTCTCCTCATCTGTAGGATGGGAGCGCAGTAGCACAGGCATTGTGAGGGGTAGATGAATTAATGCAGTAAAAGCCCGGCCCATAGTGACCCTCCGTACGTGCTGGCTGGTACGTTAGGTGTGTTCTTATCAAGTGTCTCTGTCGTCATCATTGTTGAGGAGGCCTGGGGTCCCCGTCCTGTCTGTCCTTGGATTTGGTTTTGCCTGCCTGGTAACTTGCCACTTTCAGAAACGTGTTGCCACACATTTAGACCCTGAGAGAGGCTTCCCACCACAATCAGGACCTCCACATTCCTTGACAGGTTGGGAGACATGGCAACATCTTGCCAGGTACCAATGCCATCCAGAGCAGGGCGGTGCCTGCCTCTGATAGTGACCTGCCCACCTGTCCTGGATTCCATGTTTTCCAGGCCAGTGATATTTGAAACCGACTTAGAAAGAGGGAGGGGCTTGCAAACCCAGAGGTGGATGAAGGAAAGGAAGCTACTAATAGAGAACGGCCTCTGCGGATGGCTGACTGTCTGTGAAGCATGCAAGGTACTTTACGAGTGTGTGGCGTATGGACTGCTAGCCAGGAGGAGGGGCTGTTACCATTTTCCCCACTCTATAGACAAGGAAACTGAGGCCTGAAGGAAGCCACTTGTCCAAGGTCACCACCAGCAGCCCCTGGGGCAGGGTAGTTGCTGCCCTTTTCCGTGGGAAGGGCATTATCCAGTTCCTTAGTTCCCATTGGGCTTCCCTGATTTATTCAGGATCCTACAGACATTTGAGTTTGTACTCCCAGCTTCAAAAAGGGTAACATTTGTTCTGTGCCAGGCACTGTTCTGAGTGCTTCACAGGATGGATTCAGACATATAATATGCACAGCCACCTTGGAGATCAGTGCTGCCATTACCCCACTTTACGGATGAGGAAGCTGACGCAGAGAGGTTAAGTCATTTGCCCGAGGGCACACAGCCAGCAAGTGACAGAGCCAGGGTTTGAACCCAGACACCCTGGCTCCAGGGTTCGTGCTGTCGACTACCCTGGTCTGCTGCTTGCCGAGGAGGTGACCTGACCTCCCAGCCTCTCTCCCCGCAGGTGGTGGGCAGCTCCCTCCTCTTTGTGCACGACCACACTGGCCTGGCCAAGGTCTGGATGATCGACTTTGGCAAGACGGTGGCCCTCCCTGACCACCAGACGCTCAGCCACCGGCTGCCCTGGGCCGAGGGCAACCACGAGGACGGCTACCTCTGGGGCCTGGACAACATGATCCGCCTCCTTCAGGGGCTGGCGCAGAGCTGACACACCCGCCCACAGCCGGATTTATTTATTGAATGGTGCCAGTCTGGCTAGAGGAACCCCAAAATGCCGTGGAGGGCTGAGGTGGGCAATTGGGGAGCTGATCCTGGGGACGGGAGAGGTTGTGTTGCACACCACTCAAGACCACTGTGGAGGCTGAAGGGCTTCGGAGATGAGGTGCCCAGGCAGCACCAGCCCTTCTGTCATACGGGGTTGGAAAGATCCGAGCAGGGAGCATGACATGGCCGAGTCTCACAATCAATCAGCAGAAGCAGAACTGGGTCTCCTGACTAGCCAGGGAGGTTCTGAGGGGCTGCCCTCAGAGAACACAGTTCAGATGTCATGGGGTGCAAGTTTGACACCGGGCCTGACTGCAGCGTGAATGATGTAAGCGGCTCCCTGAGGTCGGCAACTGGGCTTGGGTTCCTCTTTGGTTCCCCAGAAGACCAGGCGTCATATGTGAACACACGCAGAAGCTGCATGTCTGCCTGAGGAGAAACGGTTACGCCCAATCTCCTCACCTGGGGGCTGCTGGCGTGCTGAGTGACGGGCTCTGAGGAAGGTGGGATGTTGCCCACAGGCCCATGCATGCTGCCAGTGAGGGGGACACAGTCCACCACCACTCCTCCCCTTGTGTGACCCCAGTGGGTCCTCCCTGCTGACCTCCTGCAGACCAAAGCCACAGCCCCATCTGAGCCAACACTGTGACCAACAGCCCTGTTCCTGGGTGCACCGCTTCCAGCCTCAGGTCTTCCTCCTCCCGCCCGACCCCACCCCTGCCGGCTTTTCTGTCTCCTTCCTGGAAGACTGCAGTGGCAGGAAGACGTTTCAGAGGCAAGGGAGCGGGCTTCCTTGGAGTGGAAGCTGCCCCTGTGGAGGACTCTGTCCCGTCCCCGGCCCCTGCAGCACAAGGAGTGCCAGGCTGGGGCTGGGGACAGGGCTGGCCGTGACCCTGGGTTCGCAACCCAGGCCAAAGACTCTGGACCCGTCATGTAGCAAACGGCCCCTCGGCCCCTTTAACTGCCCTCTCTGGCCCTTGAGGGTGGCCTTGGGGAGGACGGGCACCTACCTCTAGCCTAAGCTGAACCTCTAACATTGTCTTCCAGGGCTGAGGAGATGACCTCCTTTTCTAGTGACCTTTGTACTTATTTATGAAAGAGATAGTTGTTAGGTGGGGTGGCACTGAGGCAAAAAAAAAAAAAAAGGCAAAATGGCTTCGCAGTGCCTTCCGCCCACATGACGCCCCAATAAATAGAACATTCAGAGTCAGCTTTGTGGACTTGTTTCTTTTGCATCTGGGGTGTGTGGGCTCAACTCTCATAGCCTGAGCATTAGTGCTAGGGCGGATGGGAGGGGGAAATAATGGGATAATGACCACTTCAGGGTAGAGAGGTGGCTCGGGGTTGGTTGGTTCATTTACTCAACACTCACTCACGCCTGGCTCTGTGCTGGGCGGTGCAGGGACAGTGGTGACCAGGAGGGCTCCAAACCTGGCCCCTCAAGGACTCCCAGCACAGTGCACAAGGGGGTGCTACCCAGGAGGGGTTGGACCAGGATAGGGGAGGCTTGGGGGTCAGGTGGGATGGGGAGGCACAGGCAGAGGGCTGAGGTTGGGGTGGGAGATACTCCTCTTTGCTACCTCACCCACCCATCAGAAACACCACCCTGCACACTTCCCCTAACTGGAAACGGGGGGCTACTGGGGACACAGCAGTGACACAGACGGACCCGTTCCTCCCCTTTCACAGCACCCAGTCCAGTAGGGCGATACCAAAGAAACCAAACCCACTGTCGTTAACTCGATTCTGACTCATAGTGACCCCGCAGGACAGAGAACTGCCCCATACGGCTTCCAGGGAGTGGCTGGTGGATTCCAACTGCTGACCTTTGGGTTGGCAGCCACAGCTCTTAACCACTGTGCCGCCAGGGCTCCAGTGGGGCGATAGGTGTTCATTAATGAAACCATCACACACACTCGTGGATATACACGTGTATAGACAGCTAGGAAGAACACCGTCTGTGATGGGTGCTGTGATACGAGGGGGGGAGGTGGTGCCAGCCCCACTGCTGGCCTTTGGGCCCTAAGTCTGAATCCTGGGTCAGCCTATTGGCTGCCACGTGACCTCAGGCCAGTAACTCCGCTTCACCAGGCACCTGTAAAGTGGGGAGAATCCCGTGCCGTCACAGGGTTGGAGAATTGAGGGGTTACCGTGGGCAAAGTGTGAGCACGGCACAGAGGGCGGGGCAAGGGCCTAGCCTGGGCTGAAGGAAGCTTCCCTGAGGAAGTGATACCTGAGTTGAGCCCGGATGGGAAGTTAAGGGGCTCTCCTGGTGAGGGGGCAGGTGAAAGGTCCCAGGAAGGTGGTATGACACTTTAGGGATGGAAAGACCAGCCTGACTGGAAGGCAGAAAGCATGGGGGCAGACAGGTGAACTGCGGTCTAATCTCTCGGGTCTTGCAGATCACGGGACTTAGTCCCTGGGCTGGCAGCAATGAGGAGCCCCCGTGAGAAGAGACTGTGGGGGCGGTGGGGGGCCGAGTGAGGAGGCTCTCGCAGATGCCCAGAGAGATGAAGGTGGGTTCTAAGAGGGTGACCAACAGCTAGAGCTGACACAGGTGCTCAGTAGTGGGGTGATGGGCTGGGGTGAGGTGGGACAATGCTCTGGTTTCTGTGTTGAGGATACACGGAGGGGCGGGGGGGACCTTATGTGAGGAATCGCTGGGCTGGAGACCCTCAGAGATCCAGCCCAAAGCCCTGGCTGTTCCACTGAAGGAGAGGCAGGGGACACTCGTCACAGGGTGACAGAGCCAGGCTGCGGCCGGGCCAGGTCAGTCCGGGCTCAGGGCTCAGCAGGCTAGCGGCTAGCATTGTGCAGTCTGAGGAGCAGGGCCTGGCCGCAGAGGCCAGACTGCAGCCCGCCAGCAGGCACCACGTATGACCAGCCATCGGCAGCCCGTGACGGCGAGAAGTCTGTCAGCTGCAGATTGCTCTCGCGGACCTGGTCATAGTCCCACAGCTGGTAGTGCCAACTCTTGCCCTGCTTGGAGAGCAGGTAGATGGTGCCGGGGGAGCCTTCCTCTGGTAGGGGTGGCGGCTGGCAGGGTGTGCTGGGCACCGGGTGGAACAGGCCTGCCAGCTCAGGGTCTTCAGCGTAGCCGAGGCTTGGCACGCCTGGCACCCCCAGCAGGACCCCTGGGAGGAGAGCAGCAGGTGACTGAGTGCGCTATGTTGGGCTGCACTGAATTCCCCCCACAGCCCTCCAGGGTTACAGGTAGTCACCAGAGGTCAGGGGTCACACAGCTGGGCTGGGATGTGGGCCTGGGAGTCGGAAAGGCCAGCGTGAAGCAGAACCGCCACCACTGCCCAGTGACGTCCAGTAAAGACATGTTCAGAGAGGAGCCCTCAGGCTGCAGCCCCGAGCCAGGAGCTAGGCCAGGGCTTCCTGACAGGCACAAACCCTACCTCCTGACAGGCAGGTGGAGTGACAAGGACAGTGTACTTAACACCTGACACTGACTGGGAGCCCTGGTGGCACAGTGGTTAAGAGCTAAGCCAACCAAAAGGTCAGCAGTTGGAATCCACCAGCTGCTCCTTGGAAACCCTATGAGGCAGTTCTACTTTGTCCTGTAGGGTCGCTATGAGTCGGAATCGACTCAACAGCACAGAACAACAACACTGACTGAAGATGTGTAAGGGCCAGGCACCATCTAAGTGTTTCACATACCCTGACCCTGAGGTGGGTGGGCACTATTGATGCTGTTATTGAGTCAGTTCTCACTCACAGCAACCCTCTGGACAACAGAACGAAACCCTGCCCGGTCCTGTGCCATCCTCACAATCGTTGCTATGCTTGAGCCCACTGTTGTAGCTACTGTGTCAATCCATCTTGTGGATGGTCTTCCTTTCTTTCAGTAGCCTGCTACCTTACCAAGCACGTTGTCCTTCTCCAGGGACATCTTGATAACAAGCCCAAAGCACGCGAGACATAAGTCTTGCCAACCTTGCCTCTAAGGAGCATTCTGGCTGTACTTCGAGACAGAGTTGTTCTTGTAGCAATTCATGGTTATGTTCAATATACTTCACCAACACCAACTACTATCACCTCCATGTTCCAGATGGAGAAATGGAGGCCCAGAGAAGTGAAGAGACTTGCTTGGGGTCACAGAGCCCACAAGCTGCTGGGCCAGGCCTGGAGCTCAGTCTGTTGGATCCCGAAGTCTGTGCTGTCAGCTCGTGTGGGTGGAAACCCTAACTGGCAACCACACCACTGAGGCACCTGCTGTCTGTCGGGTCCCGTGCTAAATGCCCTGTGTGGGCAGGACGGCCTGCTCCTGTCCCTGCCTCAAGAATGCAGGGCGAGAACGTGGGGGGAGGGCTGCCCTGGGCCTGGAGGGGCTTCTACCCACCTGTGCTGACCGCCCAGTGAGCCTTATGGCCCTTCCTCTGACACGGCTCATGGTTGAAGTCCTCATCGTAGCTGATGCTGGCGTTAAGGTCACAGCTGTGGTCTACAGTGTGGCCCAGAGACCCTCTGCCACCCCACCCCACCCCCTCCCCAGGCCTGGGATACGGGATGAGCAGGGGGTGTCCGGCAATGAGGTGCTGCAGGACGCGGTCTCTGTTGGGACCGCCCAGGCCGCCGCAGAGCAGCTCCACTTGGCAGCCCAGTGCCTCCTGAGCCAGCCTACCCATGTCAGCCACTGCAGGGTGAGAGCCGACCGAGAGAGGGCTGACTGCGTGCCCAGCCCAGTCTCGACGGGGCTCCAGACCTCTAACCCTCACCGCTCTCGCCAACTCCTTTGCACAGATGCAGAAAATGAGGCACAGAGAAGGTGATCGGCTTGCACCAGGCCATGCAGCAAGGAGGTGGCAGGGCTGGGCTGGGCACCCAGTGTCCGCCTCATGACCACTCTGCCCTACTGTGGGAAAAGGGCCTGAGGAATGGCATGAGAGCCTGTCCCGCACCCAGCAGTGCTGCCCCCAGCTCCTCTGAGTGAAGACCCAGCTGGAGACCCTCCAACGCCCAGCTCACCAGAGAACATCTCCCCCTGGGCGGTGTAGCCTCTCTCCAGGGCCACCTGCACAAGTCTCTCCAGGGGGACACCGCTGGGGGGCGCTAGGAGAGTGCCTGCCATCCACAAGGCCACCAGCCCGCACCTGGAGAGAGACAGGCAGGGACCCAGCCCCTCAGCCCCGAAGTCACTTTGTTACTGGGCCTCCTTTGCCTGGAAGCTGGAGTGAGGGGACCAGGTTTGCTGCCTTGGGGGGGTTCTCCTCCCCTCTTCTAGGCCAGATGGGTAGACCTGACTCCCCACCATTGGACAGAGAATGGCCAAGGCCTGAGCCTAGGGCTGGAGGGATGAGGGGGAGGGCAGGGAGAGATCACATGGGCTTCCTGGGGGAGAGGGTGCCAGTATGCAGTTAGAGAGAACGGACCCGGTTCATCTGTTCACACATCTGTTTGTTCATTCACTCACTCATTCATTCCAAATCTCTGTTCACTACGCATGCACCCAGTACCCTGTCCTGGCGGGTCCCCCCTTCCCTCCCCAGTCCACCAAGGCCTTCTCCCAGCCTCCCTCTGGAGTGCAGGGCAAGTGAGGGGCTGGCGTCCTGGGTCAGAGTACGTACTGAGGGCCTTCTTGGATGAGGGAGGGCAGGTCGGCACAGAAGAGGATCCACTGTAGGTCACTTCTGAAACTGAATCAGAGCCACACTCGGGTCAGGTGGGAACAGCTCTGAGAGCCCCCCTCGAGGTCTGGGTGGGGGCAGAGCATACAGGGCTGGGAAGGGAACACAGGCCTGGCCATCTATAGCCCCAGAGCGGCTCCTGGCTGCATCACTGACTTCCTTCTCCCCCACGGGGCACTTGCCCTCATCTGGCCAGTGGGCATCTTCCTTCCCCCTGCCTGCTCCCTGCTCCTTCTCAGTTATTGAGGGGGCGAAGAGCAGATGTGCAAAAGTCATGCAGTTAGGAGCCAGAGACAGATTAGAGAAAATTTTTCAAAGGGGCGTCGCTACAGTTAAACTGTTAAAACAAAACAAAACCTGTTGCCTTGCGGTCGATTCAGACTCATAGAGACCCCACAGGACAGAGCAGAACTGCCTCATAGGGTTTCCAAGGAGCGGTTGGTGAATTTAAACTGCCGACCTTTTGTTTAGCAGCCAAACGTCTAAACTGTTAAGTGGGGTGAAAATCCCTTAACATAGGTGAGAGTAAAAGGCCAACTAAATCTGGAAGAACTTAGGCTGGTGGCCTAAAATAACGAGTCCCTGCAAGCCTGACCAGCCCCCCTGCTTGGGGAGGACGTGGAGACAGTTCTGGGGATCCCAACCTCCTCCCTTCCCCCCAGGGCCCAAAAGAAGGCAAGGCATCATGCTCTTTATTTCCATCTCAAAGTCAGTGAGAGGGGGAGGCTGAAGGGGAACGCAGGGCTCCTGACCGAAAGCGGATGATGTTACAGCACAGTGGTTAAAAGTGTGAAGCCATGCTGCGCAGGTTCAAATTGGGCGCTTCCTGTTAATTCTACGGCTCAGTGATTTCATCTCTGTGAACCTGTTTCCTCATCTGGAAAATGGAACAATAACAGCTACCTCATTAGGTTGCTGCAAGAATTAAATAAGTTAATACTTAAACACCCTTAGAGAAATGCCCAACATATACTAAGCACACAGTAACCAGAGAATGTCATTTGCCTTAAATTAACCTCACTGTGGTCAGGGCGTTTAGGACGGATTGTAAACTTCTGAAGAGAGTTGAAGTTCCTTCTGAGTCTGGGAAAGTCACTTCCCTGCTTCTGGCCAACCAGGCAATCATTCAGCTGGGTTTTCTTCTCCTCCTTCCCCTCCCCACCGCCTCATCCTGGTCCAGTCCCCTCCTCTCCAGTATAGGTCCTCCAGCTTCCTCCCTGGGCTCTGACTCTAGTCTCGCCACCTACGACGCATGCCCCACAGGTAGCCTCATCCTGTGTAGGCAGCTCTTCCATGGCTCCCCAGAGCCTTCAGGACAAAGTCCAGCCCGCGTACCGTGGCCCACCATGCTGCCTCATGCGTGATCTGGCTCCCGCCCCCCTCTGCCACTTCCCTGTCATGCACAGGAAAATATTTGCAGTTCCTTGAAAATGACATGCCCCGATTTAACTCTGGGCCTCTGCACGAGCTGTTTGCTCTTCCTCATCACGCATCCCTTGCACAACTTGCTCAATAGCACTCAGGGTTCCCCTCCTCAGGAGGTATCCCACCCCCACCCCTGCCTCCAGGCTGGGTCAGGTGCCCCTTCTGGGCTCCCCCATCACAGCCCTGACCACTCTGGGCTGTCACTGCTTGGTGAAGGGGGAGGTCTGCCTCCTCCACTGGACTAGGCGCTTGTGATGGCAGGAGCTTTCTTCAGTGATGGAGGCACACCACCACTAGAGGACTCAGGAGGGGACTGAACCAATCAGGCTGCTGGACTTTGAGGAAACGGGAAACCCCAAGAAGAGAGGGGAAACCCCAAAAAGAGACAGGCTGAAGCGATCTGGGACAGGTAGTTTGGTGAGATGCCTGGGGGGGGGGGGGAGTTGGTGAGGTGGGCATCCTACCGGTCCTTGTGCAGCTTCAGAAGCCTCTTCACGTCCTCTCTGCCCGTGGGGACTGGGCCAGACTTCTCCAAGGCCTCCTTCAGCAGCTGGCTCTTTTCCATGCCGAAGACATGAGGGGTAGCAGGCCCCAAAGCAGGGGGTGGAGGCGGCAGTGGGGGTGGTGGGGGAATAGGGACCTGGAGACTCGAGGGAGTGGGTAGAAAAGTTAAATCCGGGGAATTTGGAGGCAGGGGAGGTGGAATGGAGGCCTGGGATGTAAGCGCGCCGGGAGGAAGGGCTGGGGGCTCTAGATGAGAGCATGGAGAAGTCATTTTGGAGTCTTTGGGAGGAGCTGGGTGAAAATGGGAAAGGGAAAGATCCTTCAAAATGGAGTTGAAGGTTGGCCGCAGAGATGGGGAGTATGAAGGTTTGACAGCTGAGTCCCAGAATGGGGGAGCAGAGCAATGGGAAAGAACCAGGTGCACGCAGGGTTTGGGGCTGGCTCACACAGAAAGATCGGAGTTAACAGGGTGGGGTCTTTTAATCCCACATTTGTAGTATGGGGGGCTGGGGTGGGTGGGTTGGTTTGCGAGGGAGATTAGGCATTAACTTGTCTAAGTCAAGATTTGGAAACCCCCGTGTTAATTTTGGGATAAGCGGGCTCAGTCTTGGGATATGGCGACTAAAGAGTAGGATTTAGGGGTCTCGAGCTAAGGATTGGGGGAATTTAGACTCTGTTCCCCACCCCTACTCCCCACAGCCCAGGCTGGAGTTCGGAACCTATGAGCTGACCTTTGTGTCGACCTTTGATCCAGAGGTCAAAAAGGATACCTGGCAGGGAAAACTGCCTAGTTGTGGAGAAGGTCCTGGAATTACTGAGAAACAGGAAAAAGTCTGTGGGTTGCGAAAGGCTCAGATATGGGACGCTAGAAGGAGAGGCGATCCCCGGGAATAGAAAAAGGAGTTAATGGAACAAAACTCTCCTCCCCTTGCCGCAAAATGGCGGCTGCCGGACACAAGTTCCCTCACATCACGTGGTAGGATTCGCAAGTTGTGTCCGCCCCTTTCACAATCACGTGGCAGAAAATACTAGGGTGAGCGGAGAGGCGGGGCTTTCAAAGGTCGCACGCCGGAAGAGACTGCAGAGCGAGCCGCGTTCGATTGGCAAGAAGCGCGTGAGGGGGCGTAGCCTTCACTGATTGGTTCGTAGGCCTCGTCGCAGCTCGGGGCGGAAGAATTGCACAGGCTGGGGCGGGGTTTTTCTGCCTAGGCGGGAAGCCTAGTGTCGTTTTGATTGGCAAGCCATTGGTGGGGGAGGTGAAACTTACTCTGATTGGCCAAACTACGAGGTTTCCACAAGGAGATTGGCTTGCAGAAAGGCAAAGGCGGGGCCAAGAGAGGAAGCTTTGTCGTCCAATCGCAGGAACTCAGGAGACGCTACTTGGGGGAACTGCTCCTCTGTCGGTGAGTAATCTCGGGCGCAGGTGGTCATCGGCGCCAGGCGGATTGAGCGGATGGAGCTCAGACCTTCCCGCATCTCGTCTGGAGAAACTTTCCTGCTGCATGAGGCCAGGACGTCCCAAATTTGTCTCCTCTTCCTTAACTGGTTTTACGTCCGGGTGTTTTCTTCTGGGCCTCCCTTTGGGGTCCTGAGCCAATAGGAGTCGCCACTTAGGACGCTCCACCTACTGGGTCGCGTATAGCATCCTGGGACTCGTAGTAAACCTCTCGAGATTTCCCTCAGCACGCGGGGAGGAGAAGCGGCTTTTACCTCCGGCGCGTTGTCCAAATTCTCTGATTTCTTTCTGGAAGGAAGATCCCTGAGCAGTTTGTTAAACCAGCCTTGGGACAAAGGATTTAGAGAAACCAAGGGTTAAAGTCACCTTTTTCCTTTTTTCAGCCTTAACCTCCGCACCTTGCTCCATGGCAGTTCCCGAGACCCGCCCCAACCACACAATTTATATCAACAATCTCAACGAAAAGATCAAGAAGGATGGTGAGTTCTTGAGATGGCCCAAGCGCTAGGCTGTACCGCACGAGCTGGCCCCTTCCATCGCCAGCATTTCGCTTCTCTACTTTCGTCTCCTCCAGCGTGTTAGAGCTAACTCCTCGGTCTTTGCACATGTTGCGTCCTCTTGACTTTTTTTAACACTCCCTCAGTTCAGCCACACTCTGCCCGTTAACCTGGGCACTGTCGCTCGTCCTTCAGGTCTCAGCTCACAGGACCCCTCCTCCGCCAGGTGCTTGTCTTTGACTTCTCATAGGCCCGAGACATCAAGCCCTGATCACTCTGGGCTGTCTCCCAACCGGCCTGTGAGTTCTGTGAGGGAAGGGACTGGGGCTCTCTTAAGTCACTGTCATGTTCTCAGTGACCAGCCCACAATGAAAATGTACAATAGTAACGATAGCTAACGCTCTGTATCGATGGCTATCACTCTGTACCGGGCGCTGAGCTATGCATTTTTATATACGTTTTCATTACATTTAATTTCCACAACAACCATACAGGAAGAAGCTATTGTTATGCCCATTTCTTAGATTAGCAAATTGAGACTCAAGTATGACTTGACTTGCCTGAGGTCACACAGCAGGGAGAGTGGCTGAGACCACCAGTTTGCTATTGTGCTGAAGAACATACTTCATATAGACTCTTCCATTTTCTTGAGCAAGTTATCACCTTTACTGAATCCCATTTTCTATATCTGAAAATTGGGCTAACCCCAGAACCCCCATTGCCGTCGAGTTGCTTCTGACTCATAGCAACCCCATAGGACAGAGTAGAACTGTTCCATAAAGTTTCCGAGGAGCAGCTGGTGGATTCGAACTGCCAGCCTTTTTGGTTAGCAGCCGAGCTCTTAATGACTGCACCACCAGGGCCCCTAAAATGGGGCAAGATCATAATTTTGTAGGGATTAAATTAGCTAAATCTCCATGCAGTGCTTTTTATGGTACCTGGCTTTAAGAGCTGGATAGGTGTTAGCTGTTATCACCAAAGAAGTTGCTGGAATTAAATTTGAGGTTTCTAATAAAGTTGCTGTTGAAGAAAACAAAAACAAGGAATGTAAATTTTGCACAAAAACATCATGCCCAGCCTTGCTAGGTGGTGAGGTCCTGGGGACACAGTGGTGAGCGAGTCAGCCCTGGCCCTACCCTGATGGAGCCACAATCCAGTGGAAGAGACAGACCCATCATCCAACTGTGACAACTCACATGGTCAGGGCCATGGTGGGGAGAGGCACAGGCGGAGGGGTCCGGCCAGGATGAGAAACGGGTGGGGATTGGGTGCCTAGAGGTACAGGGATTCATTCAGCTTCACAGAAAAGGTGAAATTTTGGAGAAGCCCTCCAGCTTGAGGAAGCAGCATTTACGTTGGATGAGGGAGAAGGGTGTTCTTGACTTTGACCAGCATGTGTAACTATCCAGGAGCAGAAGAGCCTGGGGCATTCTGGGAACCACAAGTAGTTTTGTGGGACTGAAGCCTGTGAGTCATGGAGAGGCTTCTGGTGAACAGTGCACTGCTGGCTCTAGGGGCCTTACAAGCTGAATGAGGTGTTGAACTTTATCCCAAAGGTGTTGCAGAGCCAGGCAAGGGATACAGTCAGTTGTGAAAAATCCTCACAGCAGAGAAGGGTGAACTGGAGTGCGTGGGTTGGGAGGCTAGAAACTGGGCAGTGGTCCTGAGTCTAGTGGAATGCCTGGGCCTTGAACAAGGTGCATGAGGATGGCGGGTAGAGACGAAAACCAGGAATGTCACAGTGGATTTCTGGCTAATTGCTTCAGAACACCCTTACTCCCACCCTACCCCCAACAGGTACACACACGTTTCCTTCTTCCTTTGTCTAGTATTTGTTTCACCAAATATCTCTTGCATAGCTACTTTATTTGCATAAAATACGTTTTTCAGGCCTGGATGGGAAGACCGGTCCTTCCTTTGTTGAGCTTAAATCCTGCTTTCTGTCAAGGGAGGCAGTTTGCTTGAGGTGGTGGTGCCAGCTTTGGATAGACTTGGATCCTGGTCCTGGCTCTGCCTTGTCCTTCTCGGTACCCTCAAGACACTTGCTCGGGACCAGTGACTCCTGTCAAAGCCTGTTTCCACGTCAGTGAAATGGAAACGTTATGGGGACGGTCCTAGTTGCTTTTTCAAGGGGTTGTTGTGAGAATTGAGTGAAATTATTTCCATAAAGCACTTAATGGTGTCTTTATTCATGTAAACATGGGCAAGTTTGTGTGTTGCAGGCTGCACCAGGCATGTGGCTACTGCCGTAAACGAATTGGATGGGCTTGTAGTTTTTCGAAGGGAGAGACAGAATAAGTAAACATGCTGTCAGGAGGTGGAGAATGCCGTGAAGAAAACCACATAGGGTGAGGGGAGAGGAGGAGAGACGGATGGATGAGAGCGGAGTCCATTTGGACGGTGTTTGGGGCGGGGGGGCTCTCTGAGGTAGCCTCTCTTTTGCTGAGACCTGGATGACTAGAAGGAGGCAGATGTGCAAACATCAGGCAGAGGGAACAGCCAGTGCAAAGGCCCTGAGGTGAAATTACCATATTTTTACACAAATAACGCGTGACTTACAAGTTTGCAAACCACACACACCCCCCACCCCTGCGAGGTGTTTTCATGAGTGCACTATGCTCATTTTCTTTACAGCAACATGTAAAAAAATTAGGCGTATTGGTGCTTTCAGAAATACCTTTTGGGGAGGGAGGGTGTGGTTAGCAAACAAGTGTAGAGGGCACATGTTATTTGTGTAAAAATAGAGTAGTCGCCTGAGAAAGGGCTGCAAAGCTAGTGTGGCTGGAGAGACCAGGGTGACATAGAATGGAGGGGGACAGGGCATTGAGGAAGTCAGTCAGGACCAGATCACACAGGCCTTGTATTGAGGTACTAGTGACAGAAAAAGAAGCACTTATGTTTGCTGATCATTTATTGGGTGCCAGGTACTGTTCTAAACCCTTTGTACACATCAACTCATGTTCTGCGTACAGCATCCCCGTGGGGTAGGTGCCATCGCTCTCGGCATCTTAGGGAGCAGTGCCCTGGGCCCTTGCGTGGTTTGTGGTGGCATTCTGGGTGCTCTGTGAGTTGACTGATGAGCTAAAAAAGGGAGCTCAAGCTCCAGGGCATGGCACCCAGGTCTCTGGTCACCAGTGGGTCTTTCCTCCCTGCTGCAGAGCTGAAGAAGTCCCTGTATGCCATCTTCTCCCAGTTTGGCCAGATCCTAGATATCCTGGTGTCACGGAGCCTGAAGATGAGGGGCCAGGCTTTTGTCATCTTCAAGGAGGTCAGCAGTGCTACCAACGCCTTGCGCTCCATGCAGGGCTTCCCCTTCTATGACAAGCCCATGGTGAGCACTGTGGGTGTGGTGAGTGCATGTGTGCGCGTGTGCACATGAAATACTGGGGGAGCCTAGGGGGGCCGGGGGAGGGGGGGCCAGGGTATAGATGACTGCTCCTGTCACCTGTAGCCCAGTTCCCTAAGGGCCGGGGTTTCTGCTCCTGCTGTCCTG